ATTTTCAGGTGTGGGTTAATTTGTTTATGTAACCATTTCACTGACAAGTATTTTTAAGTTATATTTGTTTTACTTTTTGCCTGTGAAAATATGTAGACTGATAAAATGAAGTATTGCACCATGCAAAAATTTTTCTTATATAACCTTCTTTGACTTTGACTAGGATGTAGGGCTCTTATCTTGGACCGGGCTGCTGTTATTTTGGAATTTTTTTTTTACCAAAACAAGGCACAAATGCAGAATAGTTCCATCTAACCACTCCACTTATCTTTCTTCCTGAAACATCTCTCTCTCAATGGTTTACCCTGATGACTCTGGCCTGTAGTCTGCCTCTCTGACAAAAGGCAGATAAGGTGAGAGAATCACCATTAGGTGGAGAGGAAGAAGAAAACAGAGAGGTTTGTAGATGGAAGTAAACACCTCAGATGTTATAAAATATAATGTTTGGATTTATTGGACTCTGAAGACTAGGTTATTTTTCTGGGGAGAGGCTGATGAGGTGTAGAAGGAGAAAGAAGACAAAGAGGGGAAGGAGAAGGAAAGAGAAAGGATGGAACTGGGAGAAAAAGAGAGGTTTTAGTAAATGCATTGAAAAAAAATGTGCAAAGGAACAGAGGGGTGTGCTGCCTCTCTGTCCACCACTAGCAGTGGAAACTGACTCCTGGGCACATGCTCTTGAATTTGAATCATGGGCAGCATGCCAGGCATTTCTAGTTACTAGAATCACTCTTCTCACAAAACTTTCTTAAATATATATTTTTTTCTTTGGGTCCAATGAGAAAATGTAGGAATCACAGTGAATTGTACCTTCATTTTCCTTTCTTAGGTTGTTTTTTTTTTTTTTTTGCAATTTCAGTATATTTTTCTTTTTTTTTAATGTTATGTCTAACCTCATGCTGTTTTGTCCCTATCTGTCTGTATTGGCCTCATTGCTTCTATTGTTTTGTGTTATCTGTTGCACTGTTTTCATGATGATGTTAGTACTGGATCATTGCTATCTTAAGGAACAGGTTTTTGTATATTGTGGTTATTTATTAGAGTCAGCTTGGTTAACTTAATCTCCCTGCATTTTAGAAAACAAATCAGTTTCCCCAAAATAAACTGGAACCCAAACACAAACTGGAACCCCAAAATAAAGCTGCTAGCACAATGTTTAAAGGTCAGGGTGAACCAAAAAGTGAATCGGTGATCTCGATCCCAAATAACCAGTGAACCTTCCCTCATAACCTGCAAGTGAAGACTTTCTTTAACTCTGAGTTCCTAGGAAGAGATGCAGAAAGTGGTGTGGGAAGAGAGTATCAAGAGGGATGAGCATTTAAAGGAAAAAAAAAAAAAGAAACACAGGGCACAGGGTACATTTCAAAAAGTAAAATAACAGAATAGAAAGGGCTCATCTTTTATAATGCAAATCTAGAGGGTTTATTGACCTTAATGAAAAACAGTGATAGAAAAAATTCACCATTAACATTGCTTAAGCTGTTTTGTTATCTGGCAGTATGGACTAAGATTTACTCCTTTTTATCTTACTTGTAAACCAAATGTTTGATAGGGAATTTAGAAGGTTTATTATTAAATGATTTGTTAAAAATAGAAAATAGCTAAGTAGATATCAAGAGCTTTTTTTTTTTTTTTTTTAAATGAAGTGTTAGTGACTCCAAAATGGATGGCCATAAGCAACAGTAATAGCTTGGAAGAAGATACAAATTACACATGAACAGGTAAAGAGAGGAGAGAGGTAGGAGAAGTCAACTAATAAAAGCACTACTCAGGGATTTTGTTGCTAAACATTATAGTAGTTTTTAAATCTAGATGTTAGTTATATTTTTAATTGCTTGCTAAGCATTTCAAAGGAATTTGCACTTTTATATCTATGGCTAGTTAATTGTAAAGTTGTGCTTCTAATTTTGTATGTAATTATATAAAATACTAATTTTGGTTATTGTGAAGTTTTAATTTACCGAACTTTAGTTGATAGTAAGAATCAACTATTTAAAATACAAATATTTCCAGGAGGCACTCTAATTTTAAAGGTTATACTAGGTTTAGGTTTCTAACATTAACTCTCTAGTTATGTGATGTTATGGAATTTAATAGGCTCTTTAAGCTTTTGATTATTAATCTGTAGAATGTATTACTGTAAAAAGCAACTGAAGTAATGTATTTATATTTCACAGTGTCTAGCAGAAGTGGATATTACTATATGGTAATTTTATTATAACTAAATCAGTAGATTTTATAACGGTACAAATTTTTTTTAAAGATTTATTTATGCATACAAGAACTGGGTACAGGCCAGAGGTGTGGTGGGGGGTGAGAGGATTCACCAGAGACAGAGTGGGGAACAGAACAGGCAGATTGACCGAAGTACACTGGTGAGGGGAGCAGCGGGCAAGTCAGGAGAGATCTGCTTTGCCATGTGGGTTGCTCCCTGGTGGGCCGAGGATCGAACTTGTGCTGCAGTGGCTGCGGATTGCTTCATAGGTTGCATCTTAACCGCTTGCGCCACCAGGGAGGCCCGGTTCAAATTTTTAATGATCCATTGTTGGAAGACTTTTATAGAAATTCTAACAATATAGAATATTTAAAATATAGACTGATATTTTAATATTAAAATTGGAGAAAAGTATTCTGCCTTTAATGTTGAGAACAGAGTTTAGAAACGTTTTTGTGCAAGTGACCAGATAATAAGTATTCCAGCTTTTCAAGATGATATAGTTTCTCACTTAAAAAAATCTCTCCTGTTATATTGTAAAATCAGTTATAAATGGTGGTAAATATCTGGCATGGCTGTGTCCCAATAAGCTTTTATTTACATAAATAGTCAATAGGTCAGATTTAGCCAGTAAGCCTTCTTTTTTTTTCAGTCCTTGTTGCAGGTTGACTACTTCCTCTTACCTTGATCCACTTACCATAATTTCCCAAAATAGAATTACGTTGTTTATTCTTAGAAATAAATTTCTATGCCATTATCTTTAATCTTCACATACTTACCCTATGGACAAATTAATTAGAATTAACCCTGAATTACTTAGAGTTTTTTCAAAGGAACAAAAGTACAAATTATGATACAGTATAAAGCATTTATTGTATGATTTGATGACACATATGGTGGGAACTGGTTAAATATCTGTATGAGGCTGTTGCTTTTGCCTGGTGTTTGACTGAAGACAACTGAGCAATACATGAAGGTGGGAAAATAATTTTGAAGTAGAAAAGAACAGAGACAAACTGGAACCCACATTTGCCCCCTCCTTATCTTTCAGCCTCCAGCTTCACTAGTATAGATGAATCCCAGAAGCCAGCACCCTTCAAGGAGCTGTCTATGCCATGTCCTCTGTCAAGGAATTTAGAGGACAATGTCAGTCACAATAAAGTTTAAACATGTTACCCTTACCTTGACTTTTAAAATAGCTTGAGAACAAAAGCTGCTAATTTTGGTATTTTAGAAATTGCCTTCATTGAACACGTACATGTCCTCCATACTTACAGCTTATCTATTAATATGTGAATAACTGAATAAACTTCAAGAAAAGATAAAATGAGCTCATCAATTAACTACTAGGAACAAAACTTCTATTCAGACATTCTGATTTCAGTTTTCCCCACAATGAGTCTCTTCTCATTCCTCATTCCCTCCTGTCCTATAATCTCAAATTTTTTATCATCCTCAAAAAATTGCCTGGAAGCTCATGTTTTTCTATATTGAAGACAATTTTCTTCAAAGAATCAGAACCATCACTTAAGGGTAAACCTGAACATGACTTGAAAAAAGAATCACTGGCTAGAGAAGCTGTAATTCTGAAGTTGAATCTGCCTTAAGAACATTCAAACAAATATTAGTATGATATTACTTTCTTTATATTTATTTTTACATGTACTCTCTCCTGTGTGTCCTTAGAAAGTATCCTGTCAAACATGTGTCCTACTGTGTCATTATGACTAATGTCTAAACACAACTCAAACATGGGAACAATAACAGGAGACTGTTGTGCCATCCAGATAGAGCAAGACAGTGATGTCAGTATTGAGCAACATAGCTATAGCACTCTCCTGTTCTGAGGAAGCAATCCTTGTGCTAATAAAAAAGAAAAATGCATGCCATCCTCATTGTGAATGTAAAGCATCCAATATTAATTACAGTTCTCTTTCTAACATATCAAACTTGAAATAAATCTTTGACTACTATCAATAGCACAGTGTTTACCTCTGATGAGTATAAACCCTCTGAAATAAACTCTTAAGCCCTTACTACTCAAAAGGTGTTTCTGAACCAACAGCATAAGCATCACTATAAGCTTGTATGTAGTATGGAATCTTAGTCCCAAACACAAAGCTGCCAAATCATAATTTACTTTTAACAATATCCCTTGTCATATATGTGTAAATTAAGGTATGAAAGTGCCGATTTAACTCTTGGAGTCTTCTCATTAAATTGAAAATCATAATACTTGCACAAATGGTGTATGCTAAATGTCTGACACAGAAGACGAAGGCAAAAGGAGATTTTTCTCTGTTGAAGAGAATGGAATGTATACTTCAGTTATTCTGTCTGACCATGAAGAGTGAGGAAAGACTTGAATTATTCAAGGGAAACATTGGGAAATGGCACCTTTCTTTAGAGAAGGACCCTGAAAAAATATGTCTACCCATGTGAATTAAATTTTGAGAATCAGTCATCCCAAGAAAGTCATTCCAGTGAGAAACCTCCCCTCTGAGAAAGAGTGCCCTCTGCCATTGTCGAGATTCTATTTATTTAGTTACAGGACCAAATTTAATTTTTGGTATGTCTCATTTACATAGAATGAGACTTTTTAAAATTCTGCTTAATTTGTTTATAAGTAATTCTCCAAAAAGGAAATTACATTTTGAAACCTTTGTGATTGTGGTAAACTGTAGTCAGTTTTCTATCCCTGAACTTGAAGACCAAAGTGACAGTAGAAACAAGGTCAAGTCCTAGTCTATCAGAAACTGTATATACTATATTTACATCTTTCCTTTCATCTAAAAATAGATAGAGAGCACTAAAGGTCTGTGGATACTTTCAAAGTTATTCTTAGTCCTACTGTGCTTATTGTCTAGTGATTGAGCTTAATGTAGTCAGATGTCCATTTGCTGTGAATATCTGTAAAAAAAAATGATAAGGAAAAATGCTTTCCATGTGCAGTCATATCTACTACAACTGGTAAATAGCACTTATATCACAATAGGAAAAAGCATAGAGAAATTGCAAACTATTCCTTTTCTATGTTAATACTAAGGATAGCTAGGTATTTATTTATATTGCTCACATAAATTTCAGTAGATGAACATATTTTCTATTTGCTACAAAAAGTAAATGTAAACTTTTAAACACTGTTAGTATGTATATGTATATGTAGTCTTAAAATGATTTGATAAGCAATACTTTTCAATGACTTTCTTCATTGGTCTTCCCATGTGACATTATTTGTCTGCTTTAATCTTTTCCACAGAATATATCATTAAAACTCATCACCAGATATGAACCTTATACTATCCATCTGATACTTTCAGACCATAAATACTGAAAGATTCTTAGAACGGTGTTTCAGTATTATTATAATCGCTATTTCCAGAATTACACATTATAAACACACACACATATACACATGCACACACATATTTCCAGGATATAAATGAATAGACAATTTCTTATGTAGTCCTAACAATGATGATCCAGAAAAGAATTCTCTTTTATCTATCTGTATCCTTGATTGGTGTATATGAGGATTTGCTTCTTATAAGGTTACCTTACTTGAAATATTGCTTTACTTTAAATTATACTTAGGGGTACTTTTAAATGTATTTCACTTCTATTTGCCCATCATAGAATATTGTGCTTTAGTGCACCATAAAAAACATGTTTTGGTTTTATGACTGCTCTCTGTTTCTTGAAAGTGCTAAGCTTAGCAGAATAGTACTGGGATGATCACTGCTTTGAATCTGACAGATTATATGTGTTTCAAAAAAATGTGGATAATCATAAGGCATGACCTGTTTTTGTATATAAGGCTATGATTTGCTTTTCTATTACTTAAGTCTCTTGGGGCAACTGAATAATTCTGGGTATTTTTTCATACTCAATTCTTAGTTAATTAAACTTATCATAGGTGTAACAAATCTTATTTCCTTCTGATGAAATCCTCATTTTCTTTAAATATACTATAATATCCTGACTTCTAGTTCCAGTGCTTTTTTTTTTAATTTAAGTTCCAGGTCTCTCTTCATAATCTACTCTAGTTAAATGTATGTTAATAAACTCACCTCTTATACATTTCTTAGTATTGCTTTTGGATTTTTCTGTATACACATGGCAAACATTTTCTTGGCACATAGAAATAGCCTAGAAGTGCTATTCTAGATCTCTTTGTCTTTTATTCATTGATTGACTTTTTAAATATATTCTAAATACATAATTTTACATTGATTTTTATTAAATTTTGATCTAGCCATTTGATTTTTTATATTAGACCACGAAAAGTGCCATTTATGAAATATTAGTCCTATGACATGTTTCTTAAGAAAAACAATTATATGGTCAAATAAATGTGTAAATTTATATATAGTATGTGCCTGTCTTACAGATTTTCAATGACCATTGAGTAATCAAAACTTCTGAAGAGTTACACAGTAAAGAAACCAATTTAAATTTTATTGATGCAACATTTCTCAAATTTATTTTATTACTGGATTATTTTCTAAGAAATACTGGTGATATGCCATAAAGTCAGTGTTCTAGTTAAAACATTTGGTGAAGTGTTAATTTATCTAATCTATTGAATCTTTTTTAGTTTGATTCAATTTTCCAATAATACTAGTTTCTGTTACATCATCTGTATAAAAATATAACTATTCTGCAAATTTATGAGAAGAAATTATATTAAAATACACACAAATCAATTGACTTATGAGAGTGTTTCTTTGTATAAAGCGTAATTATCTCCCAAAGAATTGTGTCTTAATATATATTACTTAGTTGTTCATGTAAAATATTTATAATATTTTAAAATGCTTTATACAAATTTTCAATTACTACTCAGAGTGTTCTGCTTATACAAGCAATATCAATATCTTCAGGGAGTTTATTAGAAATAGAAAATTTCAGGCTTCATTCAAACATATTGAGTCAGAATTTGTTTTTAATAATCCTTCAGCTTATTCATACATACATTCAACAGTTCTATATATACTTTTCAAAAATAAATTTAAATGCTTTAAAAATATGCTGCAAATTTCAAAGATAGAAATTGTCATTTAAGAATTTTAATATCTTAAATATGTAAGTCTTACCAAGTTCTTAAATCTGTAATGTTACTTTTAAAATTTTTGATTGATTGATGCTTTGAATTTTCACTGGAATATCAGAATATATTTAAGATTACATGTTACATACAAGGGATTTTAAGTTATGCATTATTAAAAATGAAATAAAAAATTGAGGCAAGTTTAGGGATATGCTTTTATGCTTAAAATTTATTATACCACAAGGGGGTGCTAATGCTTTTGATTTGCAATTTTGAAAATTTACATCTAGATAAAATTAAGTTTAAAAAGAAAGGATGAAGAGCATTTTTACATGTACATAAAATAGGTAAACCCACACAGCACAAAATGATATAGGTTATTCAAATGGAAGCCTGGGTTGTACATTAAATTCCTGTACAAGATTCTTTTATGAAAATGGAATAATTTTAAAACTTACTTGATATTTCTACTGTTTTTTGAACTGTCAACAAAATGGAAAGAGTGTTTAATATGAAAATATAAAAGAGCCTATGCTGTAATGTGAATATCTCTCTTATGAGACTAGCATTGGAGGAGATTATCTTTTTTTATAACTGTTTTTTTTCATTTCCTTTTCTAATGTTGTCATAAGATATAAGAGAAACAAAATAGCTATTTTAAAAGAGGAAGGAAGGGAGAGAGGAAGAGAAGGAGGGAGGAAGGATCTAGCATTCATTTGCCAAAATATTTTGGGTTAATATTTAATTTTGATCAAGACTACAAATTATTTAAGCAAAGAAGCACCATTTTAGCCCTTGGGAATAGGATTTAAATAATATTTACAGGGCCTCCCCGGTGGCGCAGCAGTTGAGCGCTGGGTTGCGAAGCTGCCAGCAGCTTCTGCAGCACTGGTTCGATCCCTGGCCGCTGGGCGAGGGTCCCACATGGCGCGCAAACCTCTCCTGCCTCCCACTGCTCCCCTCAGCAGTGTATTTTGTCAGTCTGCCTGTTCTGTTCCCCGCTCTGGCTCTGGTGAATTCTGTCACACTCCAGCGCTTCTGACTGTTCCCAGTGCTTATATAAATAAATAAAATAAATCTTTAAAAAAATAAAAAAATAATATTTACAAAGGCAAGGTACCCTTGCAGTTTACTGATGGTATGTGATATCACACTGTAGTGCCAGCAAGACACAGAACAGGTTCTTTATGGACTCGAGCCGAACGGTAAAGGAGGAGAACTGGAGCCCTCAATGGCTTTTTCAGGCTTTTAATGATCTTTCTACACCACTTGTAATGAGGCAGCCAGGTGCAGGGCAGGCAGGGGGGCCTGGCAGTCTTCCCAACCCCCCCTCCCAATCGGCTGTCTCTGGGCTCTCTGGTATTCTCTTATGGTCTCTTCACTGGTCTCCACTGTACTCCACCACTCCTTTGCTGCCACCCTTACATGCTAAGTTTCTCACCTCAGGGGTGCCCACTCATGCACACCCACACCACAATCCAGGTGCTGCCATCAGGCTTGCTTGGAAGTCCACAGGTGTGGATCATAGATGCTAATGGCCAGAGGACGGCAGAAACCTGATTACTTCCATTTACCTACACATACCAAGTCTACAAGGAAAGTAACATAACTTCATGTTGGGTCCCTGCTGAAATCAGTGCAGCATTAGACATTTTTCTGATGGAAACTTCTTTTCGAGGGAGACAATGCCTAAACTACAAGTGTGTTCCTGTAGCAAGGACCTACAAATTCCTTTAAATGGGGGTACCACTGATGTGCTTGTCTTACTAAATCTAGAATAAATTGATGGTCATTGAGGTGGGCTTCTAAAGTGGCTTGATTGATATGTTAATAGGTAATTCAGGTGAAGGAAAGAAAATAAGAAAGTACAGGAAAACATTTAGTGAAATATATCTGTTTTTCATTGTGGATAATATATATATATATATATATATATACACACACACATACATTCTCTCTCTCTCTCTCTCTTTCGCTCTCTCTCTCTTCTCTCTCCATTCTCTAATATTGATGTAGCCTGCCTGAAGAATTTAACTAGTTAGCAGGTTTTGCCCTGGTTTAATTTACCCCAGAAAATTCACAAGGTAAAATCCTTTCTTTCTTTTAATTAAAAGAAACTTCTCTGTCTTGCTATTGTAAATGCGATCTGTAGATGAGCCCCATCAGCATCACCTGGGAGCTTATTGGAAATGCACGCCTGCATCCCATTACTGTTTGTGGTCTGAAGACTATTTCAGAACTTAAAGACAGGGATGCCTTGAATAAGTTAATTTTATAAAAGAATGGCAAATATAGGGCATATGTGCTATGACTTTCCTCTACTACAATTGAACATAGTAACAGTCATCACTAAATGAACACGCTACTCTTTCCCCTTGAATTCAGAATTTGCCTGAGTCAAATTCTCAACCCAGCACTCTGAGTAGTCCCTAACATAGGGACTACATAGAATACACATTAAATTCATTCATTATACCATATTTAAGTCTCCCAGTTTGCAATTATCAACATTATACGCCTTTAGAGAAATCTAAGAGAAATTATTTTATAAAGTGCTGTTCATAAGAATATTAAAATATAAATTCATAGATTAAGAAACGAAAACAAATATATAACACATGTCAGATAAGAATTGACATAAATATAGTATATAAGAGGTTTATTTACTCCCCAAACACTAATGAATATTTTGGATATATACCCTTGGATCTAGAGTTCTTTTTTTCTTAAATAGAGAGTGAGAATCTCAGAGAGTATCAGAGTATTAAAGAATATTAAAGAATAAGAACCCTGTCTTTTAAATTTATATGAAAATATGAAGAGGATAAGGAAGGGAAAGAAGGAAATCTAAAATGCCTAG